TTGGTCTTTTGAAAATGATAAGATACCGGTTTGAGAAGAGCAGGTAGCTCCATGAGAGTGCACATTTTTCATTTACAATTTTCGAAAATGTCTGCATTTATTTAAAGATTATGATAGCTACACAAGATACATGCTATAACTATAATCAATTAATTAAATAAGAATTTGACCAACAGCGAAAGAAAAAGTTACCAAACAAATTATTGGCTGGAAATACAGCTATCCAAAAATTTTAATTAAATGACTAAATTTATTATAAATTTGTAATAAATGTGTTACCTGTTGGTGCGTTTTCATTCGTTTCTGATGCTGATATGCTCTGACTGACGATACATAAGCAACAGAAAATATTCACCAAACTGGACACCTCCATCGTTTAAAGTGTTTCCAGTTGTTTCTAATAGAATAAAATGTAGTACCACCGTTTACAAGATAGTTTCGAAAAAAATATCTCGGATTGTAAATATATAACCTAGGCATAATAGCTGCATTACAAACGATCAAAAGCGTTAAGTATGAAAGGTGGACATTTATCCTTTCGTCTCTTCATACGAGAAAATTATATAATAATAATAATGATATATAATATATTATATATAATATAATATAATGAAAATCAAAATCATAAGGATGATCACGATGACGATGAAAACGAGGAGAAGATGATGATGCTGAAAACGCACGATCTTGATAAATTTAATTTGCAAGAATTGGTTTGCATTGTTCTAGCTTTCGGTTAGTAGCTAATAACTTATTGAAAAATACAAGGTGGTTTATCGTATTAGTTAAGCCTGCGCGTGGCAGTATAGACTACCGGTACTAGTTAAATCACTTCAACTTTATATAATCCACAACTTTATGTTTCGTTATGGCTTAACAATAAGGTGGAGATGAAGAGAAGAAGGGGCTAATTTTGTTAACACTCCAAATTGAACTATATAATACTGAACTTTGTAGCTTACCTGTGCAAACGTAAATTCTGTTCCTGATGAAAAGCTCTTTATTCACAGCCAAGCGCGCACCGATTTCGTTATATAACGATAACCCGCCAACGCAATGTAGTAATTTACTGTCTTCTAATCTTAACGGGGAATACGGTACCGAATTTATGAGTCTATGGTGTATTTCAAAACCACTTAAATTTAGACTGTACACAGAAGAAGAATAAACAGAGAATGCGGAGCGAACGAAAGCTCGTGTTTAAATTAGAACTTAAACTAAGAAAACCTGAATTAATTGCGGATTTGCCATCCGTGCTTATTGGTTCATTAAATATTAACCCAGTAATTCATAGCCATTTCGACATAAAGCATGCTGATAAACGCACGCGTGCAGAATATCATGCACCCAATTTCGATAACAGACGTTGATTCGTGAGAGTTCGTTTCGTGATTAATTAACTATACCCTTTAAAGAAAATCACCGTGACAATCATAAACATCTTTACCTGGGATGTATATACTTCGAGTGGTTTCCCCGAAAATGGGGCAAAGTTCATAAAACCGGTACTAACATGGACCAAGTTATCACTGATTGAAATAACAAAAAGTTTTGAAGAAGTCGTCAATCACCCGGTCAATCAGAAATGAATAAAGAAGAGTCGCAAAGTTATCGAATATAATCCGCTGTTGTTCTGAGGGAATGAACAATACCGTTCAATATTTTGAATAGCTTATACGCCTACACCTATATAAAACAAAAACAAAAAATAAGATCCAGTGCAGACTCTATCTTTTTATTTTTTATTATATTTTATTTTTTATTTATTTATTTTTTGCCAATTTCAGGCAAAAAACGTTCTTATTTTACACAATTTTTAAAAATATAAAATTCTTATTGTACAGTATTCTTTTCGAGATTAGCGTACTTTTGCAAACTAAAAATGGTGGCTTCTTTTCAAAAGAAATGCTGTAGATTTTGGTATTGTTACTACGACATTCTTCAACTATGGAAAAGAAATCCTACTTTTTAAATTCTAACCATGCCAGTACAATAAAACAGTATAGAGATTCTCACGCTATCATGATAATCAAAGATAACATCTGAATGTAAGTACTATCTCGAAAGAATACCATATTAGCTTGATTAGAAGCTCATGGGCTTCTTTTCGAGAATACTTGGAAACTGAAGAGGGGCTTCTTTTTGAAATGGGCTTCTTCTCGAGATAAGCCCAGTTTTTAAGAATAATATTTTCCATGCTAACAGACGAATAATAAACCAACTATCTTAATACCAAAACCCTTGTATAATTTGGCTGGCTGACTTGTAAGAATTTTCGTATTAAAAACGTCTGAAAATCAGTGAAAATTAATTGTTTCCATCTTTCTTTCATCGGAAATTAAAGTTAGGCCTATACCGTTTGTTATAAGGTTTTAAAAAAAAACAGTAGCTCATTTAAAATAAAGATTTCCATTAAAAATGGAAAAATATTAGCTTCCGTGATTTTAATATTTCCCATTTCAATTGTTTTTATGCATTGTTTTAACGGTAATCTAAGGACTGGATTAGCCCTCATATTTGCCTTATTTAATGTAAGGACGACAGTCGCCAAGTAGAGGAGGATGTAGTAGGGTGTATTTTTGGGGGTTTTTTTAAAAGTTATTCTTAAGTAACTTTATTGTATATTTCTAATAATATCCAGAGATACTATACAATGCAATACTGTTCTAGCCAGGTGGTGTGCACAGGTTAAACAAAATAAGAGTTACAGAACTTTTACTAAATGAATAAATATATATATAAAAACCTAAGTTCATTACCAGCTAATTTATAGGTCTATAAAGATGGAATGGGAAAACTGTATTATTTAATTGGCGATGAAAATATTTCAGCATTCTATTCAATTGAAAGCTAAGAAATTAACCAAGTTAACAAATTAAGCAATTAAAGTTATTTATATATTTATATCGCAGGCGATATATGTTTAATAACTTGCAGCAATGTCCATGCTTGCAGCATTTAACCTGTTTATAAGAGCATGGACCTATTAATTAATCAGTAGCTTAATAGAATAATAGGCTTATTTGAAAGAACTTTATTAGGAAAAGACAGTACATCAACTATCCTTAAGGAGCAAGGGTGGTCGCTTATTTATCAGGTTAAGGCTTGTCAGGTGTGCGAGCAGGTGAGGTGGTTTCCTCTGTTTGTTTACCAAACCAAAGACTAACAATTCTTTCTACGAAAAAGAAATTTTCAGATCGTCTTAGTCTGTTGAAAGTGGATTTCTAATTCATTGACACGTTAAGGCTACATCATGTCGGGTGTGAGAATCAGGCAGTGTAATGCAATATTTATCTTGTACAATTGAATTTTGTTTTGTTTGATAATTTGTTTTTATTGAATTTTCTAAAAGTTAACTCATAAAACTTTACTTTCATTTAGCGTCTTTTAACATGATTTCTTATGAAAAGAGCACTAAATTTTGGAAATATAAACAATATTATACCCTGTAGTAGCAAAATTATCTGTTTATGAAAATTATACGAGGGTATTAGGGCCTACCTGATGTAGGCCCTAAAGATTATATTGGCTTTCCTGGAGACGAGATTCAATGGTAGAGGTGGTATCCCAGAAGTTGATGAAGCGCCCATTGAATCGAAGCCGTAAGAAACCGAAATACAGTATATAATTATTGAGCGGTCCGATCGGACCCCTCCCCCAACCCGACGCCTTGACGAGACGCCACTCACATCACCTTATTTTTCACACATAGGGCTCAATCACTTCATCATCGAGAATCGTAAAAAAAGTATAAATGCAGTGAAATTATCGCTTTTATTTCTGTTATCGGTAGGCCCAGGCTACGTGTTGATCGTAAAACAATAAAAGAAGATAAAAAAAAAAAGTGCTTGGACAACCTACAGAATCCACAATTCCTGCACTTTGCAAAAGTATTACATTTGTTAATATTACGTAATGCTGGTGAAATAAGCCGTTGATAGCTGGAATAGCAAATTAAAACCTTAAATTTATGTATTAGGCCTAACGATAATTTTAAATTCATTAAATTAATTTGAAGTCCAAAACATCACGCAATTAAGTTCTGAAAGTTACATCACATAAGAACAGTTATAAAGGTTGCAACTATTCCATTTTAATTAATGAACAAATGTAGGCTACCGTAAAACCTCGAATTGAAGCCCTGGGCTTCTTCTTTTCTTTGCGGGATGGGCTTCTTTTCGAGATAGGCTTCCTTTCCGAAGATGGGCTTCTTTTCGAGACTACTTTTGCAAAGTAAAGAGGGGGATTTTTTTTCAAAATGAATGCTGAAAATTTTGTGAATTTGTAATGTAAAACAATAAATAAGGCCACTGTCAATCAATCAATCAGTATCATGGAGTGTATTTAACTGGCAATCACCTTAACTACTTTATAAACCAAGCTTGTATTTAATTTATTTTGTTTTCTGAAATTCATGTACAGTGTACAGGCTTTTTTCGAGGCTAATTTTGCAAACTAAATAGGGGGTTTCAATTCGAGTTTGACTTCATCTCGAGAAGCCCAGTGGGGAAGCCCAATGGGCTTCAATTCGAGGTTTACGGTATGTTCAACCACATGAAATATTATCAACCACATGGTTACAGTAAACCAAACAACGCCCCCAAAGCACAGAATAAGCAAGCAGCAGACCATTATTAATTTCTGCTCATAAGAAGAGTAAAGAGATACGGTTTTTGAATCGACAGATGCATTAAATGGCTGCACCCCGTGGTTTGTTGCATAGTCCATGTTCGGATGAGAATATTATGCATTATTATGTGTTTAAAGACATCCGTCTGCCTCCATTTTGTCGGGGGAAAATGGAAGAGATCAGCGAGTTTGATGTTCGTGAGGATGATGTGTGGGTAATTTCGTATCCACGGGCAGGTAAACTATCCGCAACGAGCTTCTTTTTTTCATGTTCAGTTCTTAAGTCACTGTGTGCCTAATTATTTATTTGAATTGTACTACTAATGTTCGTCGTTTTCGAGACCCAGTTAGCTGGACTAAAATAATAAAATACAGTAATGCACATAGACGTTGGATGAAATTAAGGAATGCGTTTGTTCCTTTAAAATGTAATTTTTTTTTGTGAGGCAGATTTGTGGGAAATCCCAGAGAAGAAAAGAGGGCGTTTACTGGAGCACCAACCTCCAGTCAGTAGGTAGGACCTTGGTAGAAGTGTCAATTTATTTTGGCAATTGTTCGCAGCAGTAGGCCTATACTAGTTTATCTCTTGTAACAAGGAGTTGTACATTATTCTTATCTAGGTGATATCTATAAAGTTGATGGCATTTCATGCACACAGTGGTGGAGACGGGGGGAGGTGGCACAGGGGAACGAAACTTTCCGGAACCCACACATTCGACCTTGTGGCTTGTGGTGGCACCAGAAATCTGCCAAAGCGTCAAACATGTCCGATGCCAAGGGGCAAATGAAGCCTTGGTCGACGGCCTGGAATAGGGTTCACAGGAGAGTTTTTATGGCTTATTATGGTCCAAAATGTGCTTTTTGACCACAATATCAGGCCCGTAGCCAGCATGATTCAAGGGGGGGTTCTGGGCGTGGGGTCCAGGGGCCCGCCAAAGGGCCCCAGGTGGGGTCAAGGGGAAAACCAGAGCATTTATACGATTTTAAAAGCATGCACATGTCATTTAAATGCATGTTCATGTATATTTAAATACTTCTTACACAATTTTAAAAATAAGATAAGTAGACTACTTTTTCCAATACAGGATTTAGAACGTGAATATTTATTGTGAAACAAACTTTTTTTTTATGCTTAAAATTTTAATGCTACTATGTAATGTTATCTCTAAAAATATAACTGGGATAAAATTAGCAATACCCATTAGGTGACTGTACAAAACACAGACCTTGCACATTATGAGATCGCTATTAAATACCAATATTAAAATATGGAGGTATGTAAAAGGTCTTTGCTTAAAAGAGAAATATTGCAAATAATATTTTATTTATTGCAGAAATGAAGAAACAATAGGAACTGACAGCCCTACATTTTACTTTTTTACCAAAATAACTTACATGTTAAGTTGCAATGGAAATATATATAATTAGGGCAAGGAAAAATGTTATTATATTTACAAGTTACAGAACCATGTAAATATACTTGCACGGTTATATTGAAAAAAAACAGACATAATTTTAAAATGCTACAAATGTACATGTTTAAGAACCAGTTTATGTAAAAAAACTTAGCACAATGAAAATAAACAATAATTTAAGAGCTGTCTTGGTTTAAATGAGATATATTGAGAAAAAATAATAA